GGCAGAATCGAGTTGTCCATGGTGCGATGCGGACCTCGGCACTGATCCCGGAAGAGCCGCAGAACTAGTCGAGGCAGCTAGGACGCTCGGACCTGACATACGACGCGAATCCCAAGCTAATATTCGCAGGATGGGTCGCAGAGGTGGGTCGCAGAGTCGTCCAGCGATGGGGCAACGGCCGCCACGCCGAGTGAGTGCGCGACAAATCCAGCACCCTACCGGATTCGGAAGTGGAAACACCCGCACCACGTGGTCTGAGCGAGGCGGAATGCGAGAGGGCTGGAGCGGAGAAGGAACCGAGAGGTAGTTGGCCGAGACATGCCGCTTTCCGGGCGTGGTGGAGGGGAACTTTCCCCGGGCAGCGCAGACGGGAGGGACAAAGTGGGAAGCAAGCTGATGGGTTGGTTGCGCCGCTGCAGCGGGGTGCGGTTGCGATGGGGTTGGATGTGGGTGCAGTGCAGGAGGGGGGGTGTTGGGGTGTCGGGAGGGCGGGCGTGCATGTGGGTGTGGATGTTCGAGGGCGAAGTGAGGTTGCGGTGGTGAGACCCCGGGTAGGGGGTGGGGGGGCCGGGCAGGAGGGCTTCGGTGAGAAAAATAAGTTGGGTGGCAGATGATACCTGGCAACCCATCACCGCGGTGGGCGTTTGTAGTCCAACGGTTAGGATAATTGCCTTCCAAGCAATGGACCCGGGTTCGACTCCCGGCAAACGCACGACCAATATTCTGCTCATTTCCTGAATTTTGATTTGTTGGTGCTCCTCCCACCCATTGGATGGGGCACCCATCAAACCAGGACGGGCAAAACAGCATACACAGCAGAAGCATTGCTCTGTACAGGTTTCGAACCTGTGACCTTCGCGTTATTAGCACGACGCTCTAACCAACTGAGCTAACAAAGCCGTATCAGCTATCTACCTCCCGCTAATGTAGGAGCCCACGTGGACGTCGAATCCCCGCTCGTCTTCCTACCAATTTACTCCAAACTCACCGCTCCCCTCCCCTTCCCCACCCACACTCACCGATCCTTTCACCGCTTCGCCAAACCCCACCGACCTCTTGTACGGCAATACCCCCCCCCAACAAACTCTCCATCCTTCTCTCCCTCTCCAAACTCCCTCCACCTTCAACAATCACTTCTTTCAAATCATCCTTCTTAATTCTCTCTCACAATTCATCCATTTTTCCTCATTCACATTGCCAACCATTTCTTTCATCCTTCTTCCAATTTGCACCCTAAAATTCACTTAGACCATCAAATCTTCAACTCCACAATACCAAATGTTTGATTTCTATGCTACTTTGGTCTCATTTTAACATTCTACATCAACTTTTCCACACTTTACATGAATATCACATGCTAATGGTATTATATAAATGGCATTCAAATATTGTTCAATGAATTGCAAATTAAATACTACACATGTTGGTAGTAATCTATTTTACAACCACAAGAGGTTTGATTACAATAGAAAAACCTAAAGTATGTAAACCACAATTAAAAGTATTACCATTTATAATATAATGAAAGGCTATTGTAGATTTTTTTTGTTGATTTAAATTTGCAAATCAAATATTAATATTTGCTGTTTTTTTAAAGGTACTCCAAAAAATGGATCAAGTTTCTATGACATGACAAGATATCTAATTGCACTAAAACAATTCCAACAATTTAACTAATGTCTTGCTCTATTATTTACAATTAACCTCAAAAAATTCACATCTTTGTTTTTAATATATTTTTCTATCTTCTATCATCTTATAAGATTTTAATTCAGTTATAAAATGCAAAGAATGTTTTTTAATAAAATAGATTGATATAACATAGGATACAATTTAAATTAACAATGCTTTCAAAACTTCAAACATATAACAATATTTTGTTGTTGTTCTTGCATAAATAAAAATTTATTGATTTTTTCATTATTTTTTAAAACATAGAGAAGAAGTTATAATATTTTGGAGCAATTAGATTTTAAGGTAGTAATCTAAATTATAGGGATTGTTGGTTTTGGATAAATGATAGAGTGTATAGCTTTGTGGAATGTAAGAGATGATGGTAGAGGATCAAAATCACTATCTAGTTGAAGGTAGCTAGAAAGTAGTATTGTTTTAAATAAAAAAAAATATACAATTAGTATATGCAAGAGCATATTTTAAACAGATAAGGTAGTAGAATGAATTGAAAGACATATAGGCATTTCACGATTAAGTTTGCTAGATAAAAGGTATAGAGACACAATACTTAATAAAATTTTTATAGGCCACAAATAGTGAAAGGTGGTAGAGGTTTTATAACTTTCAACTATGTCTTATGGAGTGATGGACTTATCTACAATGATATATCTAGAGATGATAATTTTCTTAGTATTAGGATAGTAGCAATGATATTCTTTTGATAAATTCATTACTTCCAAAAAGAATGCATTGAATAGATTTAAAATAAAGTTTGTCACATTTGTGATGAGGTATGTGAACATAAATCTTTGTATCAAACATGCATAGGGATGAAAGATTAGATTTTTTATTGATAAAAGTTTCTTTCGAAGTCTTTGTAATAAGTGCTTTGGTGGGCTATCAATTATGTACAATAATTTTTGTATTTATATAGAAAGGATTGATGCTATAGATTTCAAAAATTGTAGAGCACAACCTATAGGATGAAGTCTTATATTGCTATTTGATACTATGGCACAACAACCAATGCTAATGCCAATGCTTATTGATGCTCTAGAGAGATCATTAACACCACAAAGACGACAAATATTGATGCAAAAGTAATTTTTTTTCAATTTTCGGAAGCCATGCCATCAAATTGGAGGTTGTTTAAAATGTCAAAATTCAAGCACCAACAAACAAGGTGGATTCATAGTCTGAAAACTCACTAAGTTAATAATGAGACAAAGCAAGAAAATGGGGCTCTCTAATAAAGGTACCGAGGGCCAATATTAGAGATAGTTATTGTCTCTCAAAGACAAATGGAATGGCTTTGGATAACTATAAAAAGAATCAACTAGTGCATTTAACAAGACTACTAAGAGGACAACCATGTCGAGTGTTTCTAGATTGTGGCTCTACAAAAATTTGCATCTCAATTGAAATTGTCGACCAACTTAGAATTAAAACTAAGGCAAGCAAAGGAGGAAGTATATACCTTACAAATGACCAAAAGAATGTATTCAGTGAGATATGTGAAAAAGAATCTTTGAGGTTGACTAACACATATGTCTTAAGAGAGAAGTTCAAGGTGACAAAGCTAAGATATGATGTTATCTTTGGTATGCCATGGCCAAAGATGGAAAATAAGCAAGTTGATTAGGTAGCAAGGACAATTTCTTTTAAAGATGGTAATTGCAAGGTGACTCTTTGCACCTCGACATCAAATGAAGAGGAAAGACAATCTGCAATCAAAAGTTTAGTATCACAAATATACATAGGTATTTTAGTAAATAGTTATATGATTAGGTAGGAATAGATAAAGTAGATAAAAGTAGGTTAATTTCATAAGATCTTTTAGAAAAGCTTCTTAGAAGCTTCATAGATGCTGCTTGACTTTATATGTATTTGTAGTTGATTGATAGGTTAGAAACTTGGTCAACAAGTTAACCACATATTAATAGCTTATGGAACAAGCTAATTATATGGCACACATATAGAAAACTTGCCTTATAAGTTAAGCTATATGTCTTCCAAAGTCTACACGTTTTGATGCTATATGTCCTCCTGGTCCTAATAAGCACCGAAGTAAAAACAAACATCCTGAGTGAGCACTTCTTGTTGACACACAAGAGGACATTGTTGCATTTTTCGAAAGATCAGTAAACAATAACAATTATAATAACTGAGAGTTTCAGTGCTCTGATTCAGTTTCTTTTTGCTTCTTCAATTAATCGCTAAGTGTTTACAATCATACAGGTGACTCCATCAAAGATTTCTGCAATGCATGAATCAAGCCAATAGCTACTTGTTATACAGTCTATGTTACCATGTATGTATCCTTGGCTATCAAAAAATGAATCCATTTTCACTTTCACAAAATCAAACTATCCAAATGAGAAAAAGGACAAACCATAAAAGTCCTTTTGCTGATAATAAAGGGTGTCTTGACATGCACGGTAATCAAGAGGCTCGGCGTTGAGCAATCGTAAAAACAAATGAAGTCCTTGCATGGCCTAGAAAAGTCAATCAGGACGCCCCTTATGCAACCAAAGAGCTCCAGTTAATTCAATCTCTTGCACAAAAAGTTCTTTCCGTAGCATAAAGTAGCAATAACATGGAGAACATAGAAACCCCACTGTCTGCTTTACTGACTCCGTGATGGCTTATCCTGTTGCTTCTGTTGGATTGGGTCCCATGATGCGTTTGCAAATCGTCATATCTTGTCTGCGTTTGAAAGCCTGTTCTGCTTGAGGGTCAACGAAACAACGCTGCTGGGCCTGTAGAAACTAGTATGATGGGGTTGTGCTGTGCCTATTTGTAAGCATTTATGGGCATGATGGGCGAACGTGATTGCTTCACACCCAAACTTAGTATACAACTATAAACTACGGCAGTGAGAGCGAAGTGGATATGCCACTTGTCAAAACATCTAGTGATCCAAACAGTTTGCAGTTTCAACACACGCCTTCCATCGAGGCCGGACTTTTCAGTTTCCAATTATTTCAGATATGGTAAATGGGCTGAAAAATATTCTCGGTGGCTAGAAAAATTATCTAGGAACATTCTAAATGTTTTAGAATCTAAGATCCACGTTTTCCAAGCTGTATACTTCGTGACTTGATCGCTGACTAAAATTGCACCTGCGCGTGAAATTGCACCAGGACCTAATCTTTTTGAGATGTTCACAGCATCCTCTGATAAGCAGACACGCGTTGGAAATATAACTGAATGTGCTGCACTTTGATTATTTGGACCTTGTCGTCATGTTTCGAGGTGCAACGACTGAAAAGGCCATGCATAGGTTATCCAAATGCTCTCTGCAATCTCAAATCCTACAGAACAGTGAAAGAAATGCGTGTTCGTATTTGAGTAGTAGGGCTTAGTCCTGTCGGAATTATCAATTTGTCCCGATGCTAGTACCTAGAAGTCCACTCAAATCCAGGACGTTGCAGGACTCCTGCCACATGTACAACACTTGGCAATGCTGTATGTATATAACGCGACTCCCCAAGTGTTTGTTTAACCATCTGACAACGAGTTAACTGTCTTGTCACTTAGAGATCAGAGGGATTTACTTGTTACGGGTCACACTGCCTCTTGCCTCAGACCTGCACTCTTTCACAGCAACTCAGATACGAGAAGAAGGAAGATGACCACCATGAAAGCTTTCCCCTTGTTACTAGTTGCTTTGTCCATCTTTCTCTGCACTGCTCGAGCTACTACGCTTGACATGAACGACCTGGACTTCATTCCGGAGGTGCGGCAGAGGGCGGCGTTCGACAGCAATGACTTCATTTTCAAGTTTCAGTCGGTAACTGAGGAGACGCCATTCGGGAACCTGAGGACCATGTTCGTGAACGACAACCCTGCTTTGGCCACGCTTCCGGGTGAAGGAGCAGCCCAGAATTTGGTTACGGTTGGACCTTGCGCGATCAACCAGCCACACAATCATCCTCGCGCGACTGAAATCTCTCACATCACCGAGGGTATGTGCTGATCCTTCCCATCGATTGTTCGCATGTAGTTGAAAGGCGTCCCTGCTCACACAAGCTTAATGTTGTTTCCAAGAGAGCTTCAGGCGGCAAGACTTGAACGTTGCAATGACTATCAGCCGTGGAGAATCGGTTGCAGAAGAAACCCATCACTGATCTCCACAAGCGTGATGCTCACTTTCAGCAAAAAGCTTTCGTAGGCTGGGCTAGATGTTGTTTAGACTATATGACCCACCCTCTGGATCTTTTCCCATGTACGAAAGCTTACTGACCTCACTTTCCACTCGATGAAAGATACAAGCTCTCGGTATGAGAGAAAGCGATCGGTCCCCACAAACTGAGGTGTCAAGAGGGAAATGCTGGGCCCAAAGCTGGGTTGATGAGTGGGTGTGGAAGTTGATTGATGAATTGCTCACGAATATCCTGAATTAAACGTCTGTGAAAATGAACCAGGTGAACTGTTGTTCGGGTTTGCGGAAGAGAATGGAGGACGACCCTTCATTGGAGGAAATGCTACAAAGGGTCAAACCGTCATTGTTCCACAAGGTGAGTTGGCTCAAACTGATGAGGAATCAGCCCGTCTTTGATATTATGCAGGATCATCAATCCCTCCTTTCAATTGCTTGATTTTGCATGTGGCCCGGACTTGCATCCTGCAGCTACTAATTAGGCTTGTGTTGTGTTGTGTTGTCTGCCGGTGGACCCACCCATTTGTGCTGCCAGGTGTGATCCATTTCGCTCAGAATTTGGGGTGCAAACAGGCACAGTTCATTGCTTCCTTCCCCAACCGAGACCCAGGAACCCAAACAACAGCCTCCACATTCTTCAGGCTGCCACTCAGTGCCATCCGCGCCACCACCGGATTGTCTGAGAAGGAAATCCAAAAGATCATGAAGAGTGTGGCAGCCAATCTTAACCCCTCCTTGGACAGTGAATGTGCCAAGAGATGCGGCATTAAGCACTAAATGGATGTTGTACCAGAATTTGATTGAGCTGGCTCATACCTCATGAGTGGCCAACACTGCTTTTCATTCTAATAAAAGAGCAGAGTGTTTAGTCTCATGAGTGTCAAATAAATTAATTGCTGGTGACTTGTTTCCATTGGTGACATCATCACAACATGTTTTGTCACTTGATATTGAAACACATGTGATTTCAACATTTTGTGCTTGTCATCTGTAAGGTTATGGATTAAGCAGCAATGGGGTTCGTCCAAGTGGTACGTTTGTGGCTTGCCAGTAGAAAATCAATGGGCATGGAAATATAAACGAAACATAGGAAAAGGAGGTATTTTTTAATAAATGAATATGAAATCAATATTGTATTATTAGTGAAATGTTATATTTTAGTTTAGTAATTAGTTGCTTTTCTATTCGAATTGTAGTTTTGTATTTCTTCACTTATCTTTTCTATTACTTGAAGTTATACTTTAAATAACTTTATTGAGCAAAAAATTATAAATAATTCTTTGAAATTTTAAAAATATGTATTTTTTAACATAGTAAAATATGTTTTGTATAGGATGATTAACAAAGTAAAATGATTAAGAGACATATATATATATATATATATATATATATATATCATTTAGATATGAAGGATTGAAAATAATTAGCATTAAATATATGGAGACTAAAGTTTCTTAAGACAATACTCAAGTATAAGATAGATATTAATAAGATTGAAAAAGATATACTCTTATCTCCACATATAATAACAAATAAGCAAATTATATATAAAGTTATTTTTAAAATCAAGGCTTGCAAAAAAAATTATAAACTGTAGGACGCCTTTATAATAGCTTCTTAAATTCAAATATATTCTAAAAATGGTTTATATGACTATATAATAAGATTTCTTTTTTTAAAAAAATAGAAAAAAAATATTAAACATAAACTTATATCTAGAATTAAGATTATACCATATAATGATATTTTTATTTACCATCTTTATTTTCTATTTATATCTCTTCTTTCTTAAAGTCTCTTCCTTTTCAATTCCTTCTTTAATGACTTTTTTATAGTTTTTTTTAGATTTCTTCTAACTTAATTAGAGTTTCTCAAAGAATTAATCATGGTTGTTAAAGACTTTTTAGGGTTTATTTATAATTAATTAGAATGTAATAAAAAAGATTGAGAATTTTTCTCAGATTAATAAGAAATACTTAGCATAATTCAAAGTTTATTTAAGCTATTCAAAATTACCAAGAGTATATTTGTTAATACAATGTATATTTTTTTTAGATTATAAATCTAACTTCAATGTAAACTCACATCTTTTTATAGTTAGATGCTTAATTTATTTTTATATTGATTTTACATAATATGACAATGTTATTCTTTTTATCTTATATTGTAAGGCCAAAATCTTAAAAAAGAGCATAGCTTGTTTGGAGCATTTTATTTTTCTAGTACCTTTATTACAATCAATTTGTATCTATAGCCGTCTTAGAAATACATTATTAGCATTTTATATGATTAAATATTTTCTAACGGAAAATCTCTTGTGTAATTTTCATAGAAATTTTTCAAGGCATGAATTTAACAATGTATAGGCCTAGTGGATATATTGGAAGTAAAACATTTTTACAATATGCTAGAAACTTGTTGTTTTTGTATTGCCTTAGGTAAAAAAGATGATTTTGGATGCAAAGACAAGGCAACAATCCATGTCAAATACTTTAATTCTTTCAAAATTAATATTTATGAAATACATTTAATTTTACTATATTTAAAAAAAATAAGCAAAGCATCTATAATTAATATCCAATGAAGATAAGAAAATCTTTCTTTTGCATTGTTGGTATTATATTTATTTGCACTTTGGACTTTGATTTTAATAAAAATAAGCCTATTTTTTTTATATAAATAAATCAATTTTTAAAGTTATTGTTAGATAATTTTTGTTTTATCTGAAGGACATTGAAAATGTGACACATATGTACTTTTCGTATCTTCTAATTGCAATTCAATAATAAGGATAGTAAAATATTTGATAATGAGTTCAAAATTAAGTTTTTTTTTATTTTTTATTATACATTAAGTATGCCTTGTGCAATGCTAAATTTTAAATAATAATATTTTTAATTTAGACCACATTAGAGGATTATAGCCTTAATTATTTACAAGGTCTTAATAATATAATTGCTTCAAATTATGCTTAGATTGCTTGTATAATTCCTTTATAAATTCTATTAGATATTTTTTTGAAGGTTTGGACATTTTTGATTGCACTAAACAAGTCAATACATCAAGATATGTCTTATCTAGATATACTTTTTTGATTTTATTACCATTGAGTTATTTAAAATTTTCTTATGCTTAGTATTCTTTTATTTTTGACAATACATTGATACAATTATGTTTGATATGGTTGTTGTCTTTATGAATGTGCTTTGCCTTGTATAGAAACAACAAATAATTGGTGTTGCCTAATGGTGCTTGGGATATGACTAGTTGGATTAATAGTATTACTTCTCATTTTAAACATATTGCCTCACTTAAAATCATTCAAATCTAATATTATCTACATTAGCTAGATGTGGTTATACAACATATTTTTATCAATGCTTTGTATAAGCAATTCTTTGGAAAATTTTGATTGCTCTGATAAAATATCTTTGATAATAGCAAATCTATATTTCTCAAATGAAAATTATGTGTAAAAAGGTTGCTAGTATTTAATGCTTATCTATGGTTGCAATTGCTAGATGGTCTAAATTTCATCAAGTTGTAGGGCAAGATTATTTTGGAGTAAAAAAAACATATGTGTGTTCCATCAATAATATTGTGGATCTTTTTATCTTAATTGAAGCAATCTCCAAACAAGAAAATATTATTTTTATTGCTCATAAGAGATTAAACTTGTTATCATAATGCAAGCAATTGAAACTTTTTTTTGCAAAGAAGTATCAAATAGTCAATATAAAAGAGCTATTGGAGACGCATAAGCTTGCATTGCTATCATTGAACAACTTCAGTATCAATAGTAGGTATGAACTTTTGAAATTGTATGCAAAAAATACATAAGACAAACTTAGTATTTTGATATATTAAAAACTTGATACTATGACTACAAAAGAAATAAACATCTTATTGGCTATTATTGCATTGATGTTAACTCAAATACCATAAGATATAATAAAAATTAGAATGATTTGTACTAGATTTGTACATCAAATCTACATAAAAATAACTATTAAAGTAAAATATATGCCAATTTGTCATAAACTATAAGTAATACTTACTATAAGATTAAAACTTATCTACCAATACTAATCTTTTGTCACTTAGTCAATAATTTGTTGATTTTTTATGTATAATATAATAAATTAATACTTTACATTATTGTTGATAATTCAAATCTTGCAACTTTAAATTTTAAATAAGTTTAGATAATAAGATGAGACCAATTATTCCTTCTAAATTACTTTTGCAATGAATCACCTTCAATCTTTTTGAATACCACAACAACTAAAAGTAATTTTTTTATTTTAGTATTTAATAAGGGTGCATTTCAAATGGCCTCAATTTAAATAGCATACATGATTTTTTATAAATAAAATCTAAATTAAGTTTTTAATTTTTTTATAGATAGTAGTTCTTAAAAAAAATTATCAATTGTAAGTTGTATTTTATCTTATTAAAACAAAAATTCTATAGAAGTTATAAAAAAATATAAAAATATAAAAATTGGCAACAAATTAGTTCTTTAGTACTTTAAATTATTACATATTTCTATACATATTAATAAAAAATAGCTTAATTGATTATAATAAAATCCCAAATTCAAAAATATAAATTTTAAAATTATTAATATTATTCATCTTTTATAGAGTAAGGTAAAAAAAATTTCTTCAAAAATTTATTTATAATAATATCCATGAAAAATATCATTCAAATGTATATACCAATTTATATGATTAATTTATTATTTTTTAATTTCAAATACTAAATAGTCTTAGTCTTTAATTTAAAAAATTATAAAATTAATATGTTAAAGAATTAATAAAATTTAAAAAAAATCAATATCAACTTCAAACAAGATGTATATTATACTGATATTTTTAATCTACTTTCTAATTCTTTTTTGCAAAATAAATAAAATTTAAAGTCAAAATCATAAATAACTTTATATTCTTTAAATAATAAATATAATTAGTAAAAAAAGATATTTTTTTGATAGAAAATGAGTCTACTAGAAAACTTATTTAAATATTATAATAAAAAATTAAATTATATAAAAAAAATGAATTTTGAAATTTATTCTTAATTTTTTATTTTTTATTAAGTTAAAAAATTTCTTTCAGTAAAAATTTTAATTTTTTTAAAAATTTATTTTTATTTCTTCTAGGCATTATTTTAAATAAAGATTTTTGGTTAAATAAATATTAATTAAAATTTTACAAAAACTTAAATTTTAAAAATTAACTACGTTTTATAAAATTATTTTTATATGGAATAGAAAATATATTATTTTTTAAAAAAATAATTTAGATTATAGTAATTTAAAATTAGCTACATCTTATAAAATATTAAAATATTTATATATTTTTTATTTTAATAATAAATGGTTGAAAGAATCTCTGAAAGGTCTTTATTTTAAAATATCTCTAAGGCTACCATTTATTTTGCTATTGCCACTAAAAATTACCATCTATTATATGTTACTATAGTTTTTGCTATGATCACTTCAATCAATCATGCATCACATGTCATTCAAATTTTTTATCAATGCTAAATATAAAACTATTTTTAATTATTTATATATATATATATATATATATATATAGATAATTATATTTCTATCTATTTTTATTATTTTTTTAAAAATGAAAGTATGTTATTTTTTACTAAAATTTATAATAAAAAGATCTTATCTTAATTTGTGATTTAATTATTTATTATTACAATTATATTCAATTTCTATATAATTTATAAAATAAGAACATACTAGTAATATAAAAAAATATATTAAATTAAAAAAAAAAACTAAAAGAAATATATTGAATAAATAAAGAATTATGGTGATAGAAGCAAAAATTGTGGTAGCATGTGGTAGATGGCAAATGTAGTGGCAATAGCAAAAATTACATTGGCATTAGCAATAGTCTTATTTTATACCAAGTGTCAAAAGATTGTATAAGTTTTATAATTATAATA